CCACAGGATGGGTCTGGGGTGACTGCCGCCCACAGGATGGGTCTGGAGTGACTACCGCCCACAGGATGGGTCTGGGGTGACTACCGCCCACAGGATGGGTCTAGGGTGACTACCGCCCACAGGATGGGTCTGGGTTGCATAATAAAGATATTAAACAAAACTAACTTAGAGACAGTGTACACACCGATGACCCAATGAACTTGAGTACACTGATGACTCAGAGAATGTATGTGCATTTATAATCCAGATAACGTGTGCTTATTGATGATTCGGCGAACGTGAGTACATTAATGATTCAGAGAATGTGTATACATTCCTGACTCGGGAACTTGTGTACACTGATGTTTAAGAAATCGAGCGTCTGTATATTGATGACTCGGATAAATTATGTTCATCGATGACTGAAAAATGTGTACATTTTTAACGCAGAACATGAAGCAAAGCCGTTATCTTCAGCCTGTCCGGTTTATTTCCATTTTGGTCCCTGAATCCTCTTCCCCAGGATGTGATCCGTAGCACTCAACAGACACCCAAGTACCTACCTACTTGCTTCCAGGAGAATGGGGGACACAGGTGTAAAGAGTCTGACACCCAGGTACGTACTGCCAAGTGAAAAAGAGCAGCAGGTGTAAAGAAAAGACTAACAACCAGTCACCTACTTACTTCTAGGTGACCAACGGCAGCAGGTGTAAGGAAACAAGATTTCAGTTGGATAAATTTTGAATTAAAAAGGACATAGGTAAGTGCTGGTTTTCAAACAGAGTGGTCGATGCGTGGAACAATCCTCCGAGTAGAGTAATAGAGGCTAAGACCCTGTGTAGCTTTAAAGAGATTGGACAAATATATGAGTGTAAAGGGCTGGATGTGATTCGTGTCTTGGGAAAGGGAGTAAATTTTTGGGTAGATTTGGGAAGGGGTGGTTTTGATAAGGACCTGCCTTGTATGGGCCAGTAGGCCATTCTTGTTCTTAAGTTCTATGTAGGAGTAACAGGAATTTTTCTTCACGGATTAGAGAACACTACGATGCATACAACCGAGACGAAACCAAAAAATACTCGTATCTTGCACGGCTCTAAAGAGGGACATCTCATGAACTGGAACAAAGCAGAGCTGATCTACAGAGAATCCATCATTCATGAGCGCCATTGTATTGAAGCATCCTTAACTGCTACTACCAAGAGCAAGGAATAAAGATATGGCAAGAACACTTTCTCACCCACCCTTTTACACATGATAATATTCCACGCTGATTCCTTGTTGCCCACCTGACACGGCTATTAGATGACCTGATGCCTTCACCTGATCTTCACCAATGACGTGTCGTCTCTACTATATATATCCAACCTCTCCACACAGGAGAGCACAGCGCTAGCACGATCGACACCATGCATTGCCCTTCTAGGGCATGGTTGGTGCCAGAGCCCGAGTATGTACCTTACAAGATGAGGGGGGTACTTGTGCCTCCTCCCATGGGAGACTTAGGTCTCAGACACTCCCTAGACAGGGAGCCAGTGCCGGGCCACCACTTGGAAGGGCCCGGGCCGGGAAAATACCGGCGAATCTTTAACAACAACATATTCCCATATTTTCTTCTTCTTCTTGATTCGCCGGTTTTCTCCCGGCCCGGGCCTTTTCCAAGTGATGACCCGGCCTTGGTTCCCTGTCGAGGGAGTGTCTGAGACCTAAGTCTCCCATGGGAGGAGGTACAAGCACCCCCCTCATCGTTGGGACCAACTGTCCCAAGGCCTAGCCACATTCACCACCCTCACGGAGCTCGTAGGGAGAAGCTAGGCCTCTCTGGTCTGCCATCCACGCCCCAAGGGGGCTAATGGGAATGACAGTCTTGTGAGCTGCAAGCTCTGGCTCAGGCACCTACCCTGTCCTAGAAGAGCTGGGCATGGTGTCGATGTCCCGTATATTATTTGGAGTGACCAAGATTCAAGGACCAAAAGCGTTGCCAATAATGTCCTAAGTGTATATGGAATTAACATAAGAACATAAGAAAGTATGAACACTCCAGCAGGCCCACTAACCAAAATATTTGCCAAACTCATTTTCAATTGTACCCAAGGAATAAGCATTGATGACCCACACAACGTGTGTACACATTGACCCAGAAACATCTGTAAATTATTAAGTTATACCTAGAGAATCAAAGTAAGTTCAATAAAGTAAAGAGAAGTCTCTTCAGAGGCCTGATGGTCTAGTGGTATGATTCTCGCTTAGGGTGCGAGAGGTCCCGGGTTCAACTCCCGGTCAGGCCCGAAGAATGAGTTTTGTTTAATTAGGTTTGAAGCCCATCGACTACACGAGGGTCGTCAAGGCTGCATTCCATCTGTTTACTACCAGTTAAGAGTACTTTAATGTGTAAAATAGAGATTAGAATAAATTCTAAGTATATATCCACTGAGAGAAATACACATGTCTATGTATATACAAGAGGAGATACACACCCCTTGGTGTATATATATATTAATGGTATGTTATACCAAGTATATACCTTGGGCCAGACTCGCACATGGACAATCTCGCTGAAGCGAACGCCTGGAAGCAGTGAAGTCCCAAAGAATTTCGTAATGCTACTAAAAAACCTGTTAGGTAGGGAGGTGAGATTTAAATAATAGTAAGTTGTTTGCACTCATATAAATTATAAGGCATTAATACCTGTTCAGCCACAGTCAAGAGGAAGATCTGCAAAGATTAATAATTTTTTCTTAGCAAATTATGCTGCTATGTTGCTTGAAATGTTCTGCATAACCCGGGGCTTTCTGTAAGTATACCAGTGATTGTTGTTATATTACTTGTCAGGAGACAAGTGTAACCTGACGTGGGTCGTAATGTAGACGACCCGTTTTTTATGCCGGTGATGTCAACTAAGTCTGTAATAGAAGTAATATATACTTGCAGAAATTATTGTTATTATTATTATTAAAATAGGAAAATGATAGGATAGATAATGAGATCGACACCATGCCCAGCTCTTCTAGGGCAGGGTAGGTGCCTGAGCTAGAGCTTGTAGCTCACAAGACTGTCATTCCCATTAGCCCCCTTGGGGCGGGGATGGCAGACCAGAGAGGCCTAGCTTCTCCCTACGAGCCCCGTGAGGGCGGGGAATGTGGCTAGGCCTGGGGACAGTTGGTCCCAACGATGAGGGGGGTGCTTGTACCTCCTCCCATGGGAGACTTAGGTCTCAGACACTCCCTCGACAGGGAGCCAAGGCCGGGCCACCACTTGGAAAAGGCCCGGGCCGGGAGAATACGGGCGAATCAACAAGAAAAAGAAGATGGATAGAGGACCTTCAAAATTATGGACGTCAGCCCATGATGCTTTTCTTCAAATCGCTTGTTCTCTCTAGGCTGGAATACTGCTGTACACTAGCTGCCCCCTTCAAGGCTGGCGAAATTGCTGACCTGGAGAGTGTACAAAGAACTTTCACGGCACACATAAGTACGATAAGGCACCTATATTACTGGAAACGGCTGAAGGCCTTGATCTTTATTCCCTGGAGCTCAGGCGAGAGAGATACATGATAATATATACTTGGAAAATCCTAGATGAATTAGTACCAAATTTGCACACGAAAATCACTCCCTATGAAAGCAAAAGACTCGGTAGGAGATGCAACATTACCCCAATGAAAAGCAGGGGAACCACTAGTACAGTGAGAGACAACACAATAAGTGCCCGGGGACCAAGACTGTTCAGCTGCCTCCCAGCATACATAAGGGGGATTACCAATAGACCCCTGGCTGTCTTCAAGAAGGCACTGGACAGGTAACTAAGGTCAGTACCTGACCAGCCAGGGTGTGGTTCGTACGTCAGTTTGCGTGCGGCCAGCAGTAACAACCTGGTTGATCAGACCCTTGATCCACCACGAGGCCTGGTCTCTGACCGAGCCACGGGGGCGTTGACCCCCGAAGCCCTCTCCCGGTATACTGCAAGTATTGTTATTATTAGTATTAGTATTATTGTAAAGCAATATCTAACACGCGCATCTTCTTGAAGTGACATTTATTACTATTTACTGCTGCTGCACGAGCCCAGCAACCTGGCCTTTTCTTGATCAATTAATATAATGTGATGAAGCTTAATTTAGCTCAACTTATGACAGATGAATCCAGATTTATTGGTTGTTGCTCTGTATAAGTGGAACAGAGTTTGTCATGATGTTCAGGCTGGTTGCTGACAGGTTAATAATGTAACAGGGAATTCGTTCTGTCTATAAATATAAATTCTTAGGTATACTATGTAGTTTTAAAACGTTGAGACACTATTGTAAAAATGAATTGGAAAAAGAGTTCAAATTTCACCCAGCCCGTCTTCTCTCTCTCATTTGCTGTGTGATGATAAAGATATATCCATAAAAAAGATCCAAGTGTTTAGGATGGGCCAGGACAGCTCTACCATAACGAAACCTTTAGTAAATAAGTAACTTAATTCAGGTACAGGCACACATAAATATAGTTACATAAATTATCATACATAACAGCGCATGTGTAAATTACCTTGGATAATCCCCCCAAAAAGTCGGAAAAAGTGACTTATTTCCACTGGGATCCTTATAACATCTTATTTAAACCTTAAAAGTTAAAACAGCTAGATGCCGTAGCTGCTGACTCTATAACGGAATGCTTGACGATATTCTCACTGCTCTACTAAAGTCTTCCGGCTCAGAATGATAGATTTCAACAGAATGTATGAAGCTTCCCCCATTCTGTGTGATGGAATACATCAGGGAAACATAGTTAGCTTTTGTTCTCGGTATGTAATTACTATATAAAATAAGGCAGCAGCTGTCGGTGCATCCAATTTTGCTAATAAAAAAAATTATAATGAAGCTAATAATGCACTTTTGTGTTGTTTGTTGCACTGCGTAATTTACACTAAAAGTTACTGTTCCAGTACATCATTCATAGTGACAAAAATGATATAAAGTATAACTGCACTTATATTTTGGCTAATAATTTATTTTATCTTATATTTTATATAAAAATAAAGACATATAAAATACAAAAACGAGTGTAATAAAAATAGATTTAGTAATATCTTGACTCAATTAGTGATAAGAAACACTGCTTGATTGTCCTTGCTTATCTTTAGCCAAACAATGCGACTCAACACAACAGCTACTCATACAACATAACAATAGCTCCTCATACAACATAACAATAGCTCTTCATACTACATAACAATAGCTCCTCATACAACACAACAATAGCTCTTCATACTACATAACAATAGCTCCACATACAACATAACAATAGCACCTCATACAACATAACAATAGCTCCTCATACAACATAACAATAGCTCCTCATACAACATAACAATAGCTCCTCATACAACATAACAATAGCTCCTCATACAACATAACAATAGCTCCTCATACAGCATAACAATAGCTCCTCATACTACATAACAATAGCTCCTCATACAACATAACAATAGCTCCTCATACAACATAACAATAGCTCTTCATACAACATAACAATAGCTCCTCATACAGCATAACAATAGCTCCTCATACTACATAACAATAGCTGCTCATACAACATAACAATAGCTCCTCATACAACATAACAATAGCTCCTCATACAACATAACAATAGCTCCACATACAACATAACAATAGCTCCTCATACAACATAACAATAGCTCCTCATACAACATAACAATAGCTCCTCATACAACATAACAATAGCTCCTCATACAACATAACAATAGCTCCTCATACAACATAACAATAGCTCCTCATACTACATAACAATAGCTCCTCATACAACATAACAATAGCTTCTCATACAACATAACAATAGCTCCTCATACAACATAACAATAGCTCCTCATACAACATAACAATAGCTCCTCATACAACATAACAATAGCTCCTCATACAACATAACAACAGCTCCTCATACAACATAACAATAGCTCCTCATACAACATAACAATAGCTACTCATACAACATAACAATAGCTACTCATACAACATAACAATAGCTTACTTACACAATGTAACAATAGTTACTCATGCAACATAACAATAGCTTACTTACACAATGTAACAATAGCTACTCATACAACATAGCAATAGCTACTCATACAACATAACAATAGCTTACTTACACAATGTAACAATAGCTACTCATGCAACATAACAATAGCTTACTTACACAATGTAACAATAGCTACTCATGCAACATAACAATAGCTTACTTACACAATGTAATAATAGCTACTCATACAACATAACAATAGCTTACTTACACAATGTAACAATAGCTACTCATACAACATAACAGCTATAATACAACATAAAAGCAGCTACTCGTACATAAGAACAGTTATGCATTCAACATAACCACAGTTACTCACATAATACCAGCTACACGCACAACGTGACCCAGAATACAACAGTAGTTACACAACGTGACGCAGAATACAACAGTAGTTACACAACGTGACGCAGAATAAACCAGTAGTTACACAACGTGACGCAGAATACAACAGTAGTTACACAACGTGACGCAGTTGCTACACACACGCGCGCACAATGCGACCTGATTTATAAAGCTGAAGACAATAAAGAGTGAACTCTGGCTCGCAGAGCGTCATGACTCGTAGCTCAGTTATCAGTGTTCTCGGTGTAGAACAATAAAGGCCTTCTGGTTTTACCTCCAGCAAATGGAAGACGAGGTGTATGATAGGTTTCATTACACCTTTGTTCACCTAGCAGTAAAATATGTGCATGGTTGTTAGTTTACTTTTCTGGGCCGTATCTTGGGTAAAAATTGCTATGCAAATGCGTGTAGATTTCAAGACCTGAATAAATAAATAAATAACAAAAAGGCACAATACCGTGACTGGAACGATACACAAATAACCCGCACATAAAAGACAGAAGCTTACGACGACGTTTCGGTCCGACTTGGACCATTGACAAAGTCACACTGACCTGCCTTGTCATAGGCGGAGTACCAGTGTGTAAGCAAACTCTAGACCTGCTGGTAATTTGAAAACAACCCACCAGGGTCGTCGGCATCTGACTACAGATGCATCGCTCTTTGGTTCCTTTCCTTAGTTTTCGTCGCTATATTAATGATTTTACAGAATAACATTAATGTGCTCGTTTTCTGAAGGTGCTGTCTTTAGGTTCCTCCCACTTCTTCGCCGCCGCCGCCAGGGCATCCAAGACATGTGTCAAAGGCTCCAGCGAGCGACTGTTGGCAGTTATTAATTACTGATTAGTTACACTAGTAGGTTAAATGTTATTTATCTACATTTGATTTTTTCTTCACGAGAACTAACTAGTTTTTTTATAAGACATTATTAATAAGCAAGAATACTTTTAATATTCGATATTTAGAGGTATGTAATAGTCAAATATAATGACTCATTTTCTTTTAATCCATAATGCATGATTTGATGTGTAAATTTTAAGATATATAAAATGTTAAACAAATATTGAGTAGACGCTGGCGACTCAAATACATAACTCTCATAAGAATTAAGAAATTATATAGTAACTTACTTTCCAAAGAAGGCTCGAGTCAGTCCCAGGTGATTCCTGTTGTCCCAGATGTGGACGGCGGAGGACAAGACACTTCTGCCATAGGGAGCAGTGGACTTTGTGAGCAGGTTGAGCAACAGCAACACACCCAGTACCACCAACACCACCACACTTACTCCCTTAATGTCCAGCTGACTGACCCAGTGCTTGAGCTCGACAGTACGTAATGTATCCTGCAGCTGGTACATGAAGGGGGCGAGGGCGGTGGCTGGCATGGTTGCTGCAAAATAGTTAACATTGGTATTTAATACTTTTGTTCTGCTCAAGATAATACACATAAATGTTCGTATGACTGACTACAGTATTATTTATATTATTACAAACTGATAATTATTTTCAACAATTTAAGCACAACTTACCAGTAGAGGGAATTTTTGGAATGTGAGAGAGAGACGGAGTGCGTGAGAGGCAGCTTCAGGTATGTATGGAGAAGCTTGTAGGTATGAGGCTCAGAGGATGACTGACTCACAGGCTGGAGAGTCTTACCTTTTATACCACCGCGAAAATGAAAGGTGTCTGCACTGTCCCGCAACTCGTGGCCCGGATGTTACCTGGGAGTTCTGCAGTCTACATTTCTGACCTATGTACGTGTGTTATTTACCACTTGTCAGAATCACTTGTCGATAGACACTCTGTATGTGTGCGCGTGTGAATATTCATCTAGTATATGTGATTACAAGGGTAGAGTTTCAGCTCTTGGTCCCGCTTCTTCTCTAGCCCTTTGCCAGGTTCACTGTCTCCTGGTCTCGAGAGTTTTATCGTCCCTCGTTTTAAAGTTATGTATGGGTCCTGCCTCTACTGTTTAGGTATACCTGGAGAGGGTTTCAGGGGCCAACGCCTCCGATGCCCGGTCTGAGACCAGGCCTCGTGGTGAATCAGGTTCTGATCACTCAGGCTGTTACTGCTGACGACTCTAAGACTTATGAAACATTTCCTAACATCTCTGTCGCTCATCTTTATTTTCAACTTGCAGCTGTGTTCTCGTGTTCGTCTCCCGCCTGTGAACAATCTGTTCCAGAACACTTTGTTAATTCCTCCCAGTATTATGTATTTACTCATATAACCTCTAGGCCTTCTTTCCTCTAATATCATCAGGTTTAGCTGTATTTACCTATTTGTACGTATCTATTTGTGGTTGCAGGGGTCGGGTTACAGCTCCTGGCCCCGCCTCCTCGCTGGTCGCTACTAAGTCCACTCTCTCCCTGCTCCTCGAACTTTATCATATTTCTTAAACTATGCATGGATCCTGCCTCAGTGTGTGTGTGTGTGTGTGTGTGTGTGTGTGTGTGTGTGTGTGTGTGTGTGTGTGTGTGTGTGTGTGTGTGTGTGTGTGTGTGTGTGTGTGTGTGTGAGTGTGTGTGTGTGTGTACTCACCTCACCTAGTTGTACTCACCTAGTTGAGGTTGCGGGGGTCGAGTCCGAGCTCCTGGCCCCGCCTCTTCACTGATCGCTACTAGGTCACTCTCCCTGAGCCGTGAGCTTTATCATACCTCTGCTTAAAGCTATGTATGGATCCTGCCTCCACTACATCGCTTCCCAAACTATTCCACTTACTGACTACTCTGTGGCCTGAAGAATACTTCCTAACATCCCTGTGATCATCTGTGTCTTCAACTTCCAACTGTGTCCACTGGTTACTGTGTCCAATCTCTGGAACATCCTATCTTTGTCCAACTTGTCAATTCCTCGCAGTATTTTGTATGTCGTTATCATGTCCCCCCTATCTCTCCTCTCCTCCAGTGTCGTCAGGTTGATTTCCCTTAACTCTCACTCGTAGGACATACCTCTTAGCTCTGGGACTAGTCTTGTTGCAAACCTTGCACTTTCTCTAGTTTCTTTACGTGCTTGGCTAGGTGTGGGTTCCAAACTGGTGCCGCATACTCCAATATGGGCCTAACGTACACGGTGTACAGGGTCCTGAACGATTCCTTATTAAGATGTCGGAATGCTGTTCTGAGGTTTGCTAGGCGCCCATATGCTGCAGCAGTTATTTGGTTGATGTGCGCTTCAGGAGATGTGCCTGGTGTTATACTCACCCCAAGATCTTTTTCCTTGAGTGAGGTTTGTAGTCTCTGGCCCCCTAGACTGTACTCCGTCTGCGGTCTTCTTTGCCCTTCCCCAATCTTCATGACTTTGCACTTGGTGGGATTGAACTCCAGGAGCCAATTGCTGGACCAGGTCTGCAGCCTGTCCAGATCCCTTTGTAGTTCTGCCTGTCTTCGATCGAGTGAATTCTTCTCATCAACTTCACGTCATCTGCAAACAGGGACACCTCAGAGTCTATTCCTTCCGTCATGTCGTTCACAAATACCAGAAACACCACTGGTCCTAGGACTGACCCCTGTGGGACCCCGCTGGTCACAGGTGCCCACTCTGACACCTCGCCACGTACCATGACTCGCTGCTGTCTTCCTGACAAGTATTCCTTGATCCATTGTAGTGCCTTCCCTGTTATCCCTGCTTGGTCCTCCAGTTTTTGCACCAATTTCTTGTGTGGAACTGTGTCAAACGCCTTCTTGCAGTCCAAGAATATGCAATCCACCCACCCCTCTCTCTCTTGTCTTACTGCTGTCACCATGTCATAGAACTCCAGTAGGTTTGTGACACAGGATTTCCCGTCCCTGAAACCATGTTGGCTGCTGTTGATGAGATCATTCCTTTCTAGGTGTTCCACAACTCTTCTCCTGATAATCTTCTCCATGATTTTGCATACTATACATGTCAGTGACACTGGTCTGTAGTTTAATGCTTCATGTCTGTCTCCTTTTTTAAAGATTGGGACTACATTTGCTGTCTTCCATGCCTCAGGCAATCTCCTTGTTTCGATAGATGTATTGAATATTGTTGTTAGGGGTACACATAGTGCCTCTGCTCCCTCTCTCAATACCCATGGGGAGATGTTATCTGGCCCCATTGCCTTTGAGGTATCTAGCTCACTCAGAAGCCTCTTCACTTCTTCCTCGGTTGTGTGCACTGTGTCCAGCACTTGGTGGTGTGCCCCACCTCTCCGTCTTTCTGGAGCCCCTTCTGTCTCCTCTGTGAACACTTCTTTGAATCTCTTGTTGAGTTCCTCACATACTTCACCGTCATTTCTTGTTGTCTCTCCTCCTTCCTTCCATAGCCTGATTACCTGGTCCTTGACTGTTGTTTTCCTCCTGATGTGGCTGTACAACAGTTTCGGGTCAGATTTGGCTTTCGCTGCTATGTCATTTTCATATTGTCTTTGGGCCTCCCTTCTTATCTGTGCATATTCGTTTCTGGCTCTACGACTGCTCTCCTTATTCTCCTGGGTCCTTTGCCTTCTATATTTCTTCCATTCCCTAGCACACTTGGTTTTTGCCTCCCTGCACCTTTGGGTAACCCATGGGCTCATCCTGGCTTTTTCATTATTCCTGTTACCCTAGGGTACAAACCTTTCCTCAGCCTCCTTGCATTTTGTTGCTACATATTCCATCATCTCATTAACTGGCTTCCCTGCCAGTTCTCTGTCCCACTGAACCCCGTTCAGGAAGTTCCTCATTCCTGTGTAGTCCCCTTTCTTGTAGTTTGGCTTCATTCGTCCTGGCCTTCCTGCTTCTCCCTCCACTTGTAGCTCTACTGTGTATTCGAAGCTTAAAACTACATGGTCACTGGTCCCAAGGGGTCTTTCATATGTGATGTCCTCGATATCTGCACTACTCAAGGTGAATACTAAGTCTAGCCTTGCTGGTTCATCCTCTCCTCTCTCTCTTGTAGTGTCCCTTACGTGTTGGTACATGAAGTTTTCCAGTACCACCTCCATCATCTTAGCCCTCCATGTATCTTGGCCCCCATGCGGGTCCAAGTTCTCCCAATCGATCTCCTTGTGGTTAAAGTCACCCATGATCAGGAGCTTTTCCCTGCATGCATGAGCTCTTCTGGCCACTCTAGCCAGTGTGTCAACCATCGCTCTATTGCTCTCGTCGTACTCTTGCCTTGGCATCCTGCTGTTCTTGTGTGTGGTGTGTGTGTGTGTGTGTGTGTGTGTGTGTGTGTGTGTGTGTGTGTGTGTGTGCGTGTGTGTGTGTGTGTGTGTGTGTGTGTGTGTGTGTGTGTGTGTGTGTGTGTGGTGTGTGTGTGTGTGTGTGTGTGTGTGGTATGTACTCACCTAGTTGTACTCACCTAGTTGAGGTTGCGGGGGTCGAGTCCGAGCTCCTGGCCCCGCCTCTTCACTGATCGCTACTAGGTCACTCTCCCTGAGCCGTGAGCTTTTATCGTACTCTGCTTAAAGCTATGTATGGATCCTGCCTCCACTACATCGCTTCCCAAACTATTCCACTTACTGACTACTCTGTGGCTGAAGAAATACTTCCTAACATCCCTGTGATTCATCTGTGTCTTTAGCTTCCAACTGTGTCCCCTTGTTACTGTGTCCAATCTCTGGAACATCCTGTTTTTGTCCACCTTGTCAATTCCTCTCAGTATTTTGTATGTCGTTATCATGTCCCCCCTATCTCTCCTGTCCTCCAGTGTCGTCAGGTTGATTTCCCTTAACCTCTCCTCGTAGGACATACCTCTTAGCTCTGGGACTAGTCTTGTTGCAAACCTTTGCACTTTCTCTAGTTTCTTTACGTGCTTGGCTAGGTGTGGGTTCCAAACTGGTGCCGCATACTCCAATATGTGTGTGTGTGTGTGTGTGTGTGTGTGTGTGTGTGTGTGTGTGTGTGTGTGTGTGTGTGTGTGTGTGTGTGTGTGTGTGTGTGTGTGTGTGTGTGTGTGTGTGTGTGTGTGTGTGAGTAGAAGGACAGATTGATGAATTAGACACACGTGCAACATTTTGTATTTTTTGTAGTCATCTCACTCTAGTGTCTTTATCAATACAATACAGGAACAGAAACGAACGACTATAGAAGAGGAGGTAATCAGTCCCCATGCCTCGCAGAATTAACTACAGAAGACGGCAGATGAGGTAATCAGTCCCTTAGCCTAGGAGCAGGCATTGAGGACATGGTGCGTGGAGCACATGGTGCGTGGAGCACATGGTGCGTGGGGCACATGGTGCGTGGAGCACATGGTGCGTGGAGCACGTGTGTCTTCACCAATTTCTCAGTATTGTATAGTACTGATTAGAAGGTCAGGCCACAGATGCCGCTGTCTGTATTAAATAAGAAGCTGGTATTTAACCGATACATTATACTTTGTCTATACAAAAGCAGCCATTCTTAGCATCAATTCTGGAAGATTGTTATTATTATTATTATCACGGGGAGCGCTAAACCCGGAGGATTATACAGCGCATGTGGGGAGGGGATGGAAGGTATTCAGACTGAATTCAGGGAACTGGAGCACAAATCCAATTCCCTGGATCAAGATCTCCTAACCAGCGTCAAAGAACCTCCTTTAAGAGGTACAGGAAGAACAACGTTGCTTTAGTATACTGTGTATTACGGTATCCGTCTAAGTCGCTTCACTAGGAAAGAAGTGTTCGCATCTGTTGCTTATTATGACGT